AAAAATCGACGCGTTTCAGAAAGGCGGGGCATAGAGGAGAAACAATAATGTACAGTATGTGGAAAATAATGTGGTTTTTTTACCTTAAACTGCATGAACATTTCATTACACCAAATACACAAAATAATGTTCTTTTTAGCAACATCATATGACCCCTTTAATATTCTCATGATTTTTGGCATAAAAGTAAAATCGATAATTTTGACCCATACAATGCATTTTGAATGCATTTTAACTTAAGACTGGTTTTGTGGTCCAGGGTCACATTTGTGAAATAAAATTTTTATTTTTTTTTATTCTGCAGCAGAAACAGGCTTCCATATATTTGAGAGTATTTTCCCAAACGGATAACTTACTGGTCTCCTGAACCCGAGCCACAAAGCCCATGAGCGGTAGCTGGGGGGTGATCTGGAGAATAGAAGGGGGCGGAGGGGCCATTGGGGCTACCCACCCCAACAACAGGGGTAATTCAGTTCAGAAAGAAAAAACAGAAAGGGAAGGAAACAAAAAAAATTGAGTGTGGGTGAAACATAAGGAATGAAAAGAGAGGAAGTTGACAAGAAAACAGTAGGAGATGGCAAGTTAAAGAAGAGAGAGAGCGCAATCAGATCAAGCCAGTAAGACCGAGCCCACTGATTTAAATCACATACAAACAAGCTCCTCTTCTAGTTATTGTATTAATTTTCTACCATTATATGGACACTTGAGCATGTCTAGTGTGTCTACCTTGGTTTTGGTTGTAGTGTGGCCCTCCATTAAGCTGGTTTTGGATCATGTTTGGATTTGTGTTCTGAGGCATGTTGTTGGGCTGTCCAGTAACTGATGACGGCCGGCGATAGGGCAGGGAACCTCCCACTGAGGGCGTGGTGTGCCGTGTCATTGGCCGGTTCATACTGTAAAAGTGAGGACCATTGCCTGGGAGACAAAGAGAAAATTAATTAATAAAACTAATTCTGTTGCTTCTTCTTTGAATCGCAGTATGGGATACACAATAGGCAGACCACGATACATTCAACGATACATGGAATGAACTGAAAACACAAGCTCTGACCAAACCCTAGTGAGCCACCTCACTCTCTGCTAATGCAGCTACCTTCCCAGGCAGCATCCTACCTGAAATGAACACTGATGTGGATCACACCACATAGACAGCAGGTCTGCAAAAGTAGCACTTATGATAAATACACAAGAGACACAACTAGTGCTAACAGTTAAGCCAACAACTCTATACAAGAGTCAAATATTTTTGACTGCTGTCCATAGCAGTACTGTATATTTGAACACTCATCAACTTCCTACATTAGCTTGTGTCATTATCAATAGTACAGCGTTGCAAAAAGAATCACTCACACACAAGCCACTTTCAAATCAAGCAGCTTTCTGTTGATCAATGCAGCAAATTTGTGTAACTAACTTGAACCCAATGTAAAATCTGCCACTGACTTCAACAGTATATTGGTTACCAATATTCTTTATAATATCTACTTTTGTGTTCAACAGAAGAAAGAACAACATGAGGGTGAGTAAATGACACAATTTTTATTTTTGGGTGAACTATTCCTTTAAAGATTTTAAGTAACTATTAAATGACAACAAACGTAATCTACATTTAAAATGTAAAAGTAGGGGAAATGAGCATCCACAAATTAATCTAAAAAACTCCAACATTGGCCAATACCATTAAATATGGTGCATCGCTATAAACATTTCTCTTGCTCTGCCATAGTATTGGATAAATTTTGACTGAGCTTGTCGGAGTGCATTATGGAATTACCTTGAAGGGTACATGTAATGCTGCCTAAACGATGCATCCTAGAAGACAACAAATACCTTGTCTTAAAAATGATGCCTTAAAATACTGTCTAGGTAGGCAGATCACTAGTTTTGGAACAGAGCTATAGAGAAAAATATGATCCTCAAACCAATCTGTCCATGTACATATGTTGGCCCGTGATAAATTCCTAACTTTGATTTGTTATGAAACATAAAAAGAAAGACCCCAAAATAGTCCCTAAGAAGCACAAACAGGAAGTAGAGATGGACCAAATGATGTGATGGAGACAAATGCCACTGGGAATGTAATCCAACCAAGAGCTGGAGCACGGATGCACAGCGAGCCAAGACAAACCAAGCCCATGCAGGTGAAGCCTGGGTGAGGTGCAGGAGGGATGAATCCTGGGTGATGTCAGGTAAATCACGTATGATCACGTGCAGGTTGTCACTCAAAGATGGACGAGTGTGGAGATGGATTTGAGGAGGGGCTGAGGGGACTCACCTTGAGCGGGGGTGCTAGTTGCAGCAGCAGGGTTGGTGTTGGTGCTAACGGGAAGGTTGGGGGG